TGGGCATTTTTAATGGGATTTTTATGGGATTTTTTTAATTTTTCAGAAATTTGAGATTTTCTGATTTTTTTCTCATTTTTTGGGTCTAAAAACCCCCAAATCCTCACCTTTATCTACCCCAAAAATCGAATTTTTTTTTAATTTTAATGAGATTTTTTTGGATTTTTTTTTTGCATTTTTAATGGGATTTTTATGGGATTTTTTTTTTATTTTTCAGAAATTTGAAATTTTTTGATTTTTTTCTCATTTTTTGGGTCCTAAAACCCCAAATCCTCACCTTTATCTACCCCAAAAATCAGATTTTTTAAAATGATTTTTATTTTTATTTTTATTTTTATTTTTATTTTAATTTTTTTTTATTTTTTGTGGGATTTTTTTGTTTTTTTTTTATTTTTGCAGGAATTTGAAATTTTCTGATTTTTTTCTCATTTTTTGGGTCTAAAACCCCCAAATCCTCACCTTTATCTACCCCAAAAAAATCGATATTTTTTGTAATTTTTATGCAATTTTTTTTTATTTTTTGGGCATTTTTAATGGGATTTTTATGGGATTTTTTTTATTTTTCAGGAATTTGAAATTTTCTGATTTTTTTATTATTTTTTAGGCATAAAACCCCAAAATCCTCACCCTTGACTACCCCAAAAAATCGATTTTTTTTTAAATTTTTTTATGGGAATTTTTTGGATTTTTTTTTTGCATTTTTAATGGGATTTTTATGGGATTTTTTTTTATTTTTCAGAAATTTGAGATTTTTTGATTTTTTTCTCATTTTTTGGGTCTAAAACCCCCAAATCCTCACCTTTATATACCCCAAAAAATCCCAAAAAAATCGAATTTTTTTTAATTTTTTCGCCATTTTTTCCTTGTTTTTTGTGCGATTTTCGCGGGTTTTTTTTTTAATTTTTCAGAAATTCAGAATTTTCTGATTTTTTTCTCATTTTTTGGGTCTAAAATCCCCAAATCCTCACCCTTGACTACCCCAAAAAATCGAATTTTTTTTATTTTTTCGCCATTTTTTCCTTGTTTTTTGTGCGATTTTCGTGGGGTTTTTTTTTAATTTTCAGAAATTTGAGATTTTTTGATTTTTTTCTCATTTTTTGGGTCTAAAACCCCCAAATCCTTACCTTTATCTACCCCAAAAAATCCCCAAAAAATCAAATTTTTTTTATTTTTTCGTGATTTTTTCCTTGTTTTTTGTGCGATTTTCGCGGGGTTTTTTTTTATTTTTCAGGAATTTGAAATTTTCTGATTTTTTTCTCATTTTTTGGGTCTAAAACCCCCAAATCCTCACCCTTGACTACCCCAAAAAATCCCAAAAAAATCGATTTTTTTTTAATTTTTTCGCGATTTTTTCCTTGTTTTTTGTGCGATTTTCGCGGGGTTTTTTTTGAAATTCTCAGAAATTTGAGATTTTTTGATTTTTTTCTCATTTTTTGGGTCTAAAACCCCCAAATCCTCACCCTTGGCCGAGCCCAGGACGTCTCCGTAGCTGAAGCCGCCGACGAAGGCGAGGCCCCGGAACGAGTCCAGGGAGGAGGAGCCCGAACACAAATCCTGGGTGGTCACGTCCCACACCTGGGGACACCC